GGGGGGGGGGCCGCCTGCGGGGGGCCCCGGGGCCGCTGGCAGGGAGGGTGGTAGGGTGAAGGTGGGGGGGTGGGGGGCGAGCGCCCAGGAGCCTCGGGGTCCCCGGATGGTGGAATGGGGAGCTGGGGGCCGGAGAAGCCGGGGCGCACCAGCCCTGCAGCTTGAGTTTCAAATGAGCTCATCTTTTCAAATTGGCGCCGCTCTTTATTAAGTGTGTTTTCCGGTAATGCCACCCACAGCTATACCTGGGTCGGAACCGGGCTAGTGCCCTTCCCACCTCGTCCGCCACCCGTGGCGCCCACTTTTCATCACAGTTGGAGCTAAGTTCGCCCAGCTGCGGCGGGGGGGAGGACCCCTTGAAGGCTCCAGAAGGCGGAGCCCGAGGGCGCAGTTAGTGTGCGTGCCCCTCCTAGACCCCCGCGGGTTTGACTCGAGGAGGTTCTGAGTACTTTACGTTTCTGTTTTAAAGGTAAAGTGGAATTGCATGGGAAAATCATGGAGGTCGATTACTCAGTCTCTAAAAAGCTAAGGTAAATATATTTTGCCTAGTTTCTTTTTTTCCTTCTCTGCGATTGGACTTCCAACTAAAAAAATGTGGTCAACTTTAAAAAAATGTCTATTATTTTTTAAAGGGCTTTTGTTTGTTAGTGGAGATACATAGCTTAGAAAGTTATTATTGTTATTATTATTTTTACTTTCATTATATAAGGTGTTTTCTGTGCCTGCAAACTGTTTGGTGACTAATTAGGGGTCGGGATGGAGAACACTAGGTAGATTCAGTTGGCTGCTACCGATTACGTTGTTTATCATAAATTGCCTTTCACTGAGAACTCCCCACTGCCATCACTACCCCCAGCACAATAGCAAACTTCCTGTGAGATGTTAAGAGTAAATATTTACTGTGTCAGCTGAATTGCTTAACTAGACCATGCGATTAATTACTCCTTTTTTTTGCATAGTTTAGTGACGAATAATAAAATAATTCAGTAAATGGGGGGGGGCGTCAGTATTTTGCATAGTTTTCTAAAGAAGTTGGTTGTTTGCATGGGATGCAGGGAGATGCCAGACTTCAATAACTGAAGCAGCAGGGCTGTGCTCCTGAGTGCTTTGTTGTTAATTGTTGCTTTAGAGAAACGTTGCAGAATAAACAACCTCGCGGTGAAGTCGACAGTTAGCTATTGTTAATGCAGGAGTAACACGCTTTGTGGGGGTTGGGGTTTATCCATTCTTGCTAAGCAAGAATGAAGGAGAACATCCTTGTTTAAAGCTCACCGTGGACTTTAAATTGGGTGGGGGGAGTAAGCCCCCCCATCTTAAATTAGTTAATATCCATTAATGAACGTTTCTTTACCATTTGTCATTAAGCATGTGAACTGGGGAGGCTTAGTCTTGATTTTCCACCTTCTTAGGCAGAGGTAGATGCTCAAGCTCTGTCAGGATTGAGCACATTTTAAAACAAATGGATTTTTATAAATACTTGGATGTGTTGGAGGGTTTTAAAAACATTGTGTGCATAGTTCCACATACATTTTAATGTCACGGAATTTCTATTTGGAAACGGTTGTGTGCCACATTAGAAAACTGTTTACTACTTTTGTTTTTGAAAAAGTTAAGATTTAATGATTTGCAGTTTGGGCTGTTACACTGAATAGATTCTTATTTTGAAAATCTATAGCTGGCTTTCTGTAAGTTGTTTTAAGTTTATGTGGTTTCCTTCAGTAGTATTATTTTGGGGGGACTGGGTAAGAGATGTTTTCTGGGATGCTATAAGTACTTACTGTAAGTTTAAACGTTTGTCTCTCAACAGTTGAATGAAGTTTTGATGAACACTGTTAGAAAGAACCACTGAGAATGTTTAATGCACTGTGTATCTATAAATATCTCATTCTGTTGTCTGTCCAGCTCTTATCAATCCTTTTGGAGGTCAAAATTAGCAAAAGTCAATAGATTATTAATTGGGGTTATTTGATGTTGCATTAGTCCATGATACAGTCTGTATCATTTAATTTTCAAAATTAGTGAAATACTAGTTTATTTAAAATCATTAGGATCACCTAAAACTTATCAAAAAAAATACTACTTTGGCTTTTTCTTTTTAAATGCAAAGGTTGTTTGCATTTTGGCTGAAGTGTCACTTATGTAGTCCTAGGAATAATGAATTTCTTTGAACATGTTGGTGATATAAAATAAGCAGGAGAAAGAAGCTAAGACCATGCTGTGTGGTTGAGTATACCTGAAGACAATTAATTACCAAACCAAATGCATAGGTAGCTGCTGCTGGAGAGAGTGGCACCATTTTTTTTTATTGGATTATTTTGATCTTTTGTTTTCTTTATTAATTTCAAATACAAAAGTTCCCTACTTGTACTACAAGCTAAGGGAGAGAAGGCTTTTGGAATTGGTTAGCTGAACTCAGCTTTCTGGGATAAGTTCTCCATAATACTGGGCCAGACCACGCTGGTGGCTTTAAAAAACCAGAGTACTGTGACATTTAAGACTAAAGCTTTCAGGTTATACAGTGATTGTTTTATTGTTCTTTTGTTGCATTTCCATGCAAATTGACAAGTTGGAAGAAAATCTGTGAATATTAGGTCAGTTCTATATGTGGTTTTTGAGTTCTGTAGAGCATGCAGGGAAAACAAGCCATCCTTTTTTGTTTACCTCCTTGAAAAATGATTCAACAATTGAGTGCTAATTTTTAAATGTTGTGCTTGGTTCTTTGATTTCTCAGGAAGCTGTTTTATACCTGTATTTCAAATAGGCTTTTTAAAAGCTAATGATAGTTTGTAAGATGTGTTAATCTTCATTTGTGGATTTCTTGGCATGCTATTTGCTTACAATTGGGTCTTTTGTTAAATCACATAGCATCAATTTATACATGTGGCTACATTGTAGACAGACTAGACACTGCTGTTTTCTTAGTTACCCTGGAGTAGAGAATTCTTTTCGAAACTTTCTGCTACTTCTGTTTCATCCATCTTCAAGTGCATATTATTGCACAGTAAGCCATTCACATAATCTGTTTCTCTTACATTCTACTTGGTTGCAGTCTGCTGAATTAAAAACCTTTGGGTTTTTTCTCCCCCCTGTATTCATACAGTATCTGTGGGTCAGAGGTTTAGTAAAGAGGAAAAAATGGGTAACTTTAAAAGTGCTGTTAAAAGTTATGGAAACCCCTTTGATAGAACTTTAATTTGGGTGCTGCTAAAAGTTCACTTAAAAAGTCTCTCATACACACATGTACACATAGTGCATAAATTGTTTTGATCTAAGACATGCTGACTTGAATATGCTTTTGTATCTAAAGTTGAATGAGTCTGTGAGAAAATAGAACTTTAGAAAAAAATGCAGTATCTACCCACTTCTAGGAAGTAGCTGAATGCTGGTAGATGGGTTTCAGCTGGGACAGTCAAATACTCTGAGGTGGTGCAGGGAAAGCGATGAATCTGGCTTTCATGAGTTAAAAATCAGTAATTGTGTTCTCTCCAATGCAAATGAATTTGGTCTCCTATAGGAATGCTAAAGAAAACAGTATCCCAATTGTATTTTTCTTGTATGTACTACATTGTGTATAGCTGAATTAAATACCAACCCCCCAAAAAAACCCACCCAACTTCAAGCTCTCCCTGTAACAGAGGCTTTTTCTGCATTAATTTTTGATTTTTCTAGAGACAGAAAAGACTTTATTAGTTTTAAATCCTACAGTAGCCTTCTATTTCAATTTGTTGAATTAGAAATTAATGGCTGGACTTAATTATATATGTGGAAAGAATAATACAGTGTCATGTATGATATCAAACTGTAAAGTCACATTGATTTAGCTTTGAAGTTGTGCCTGCACATTTTTAAAAAGGTAAATTTATTATGTTCTAGAGAACATACATTTTCCTGATCTCTAAGAAATAGGTATTAGGGTTGGAATAGAAATGATAAAAAAAATTTTTACTCAATACTTAGATAATAATGTATTCTTAAAATGTTTTTAGGAGGCTAGTATTTAACTTTTTAGATATTATTTAAACATTAAAATTACTGAGGTCTACAAATAAAATATATTTTGTTTTGTTTTCTAATTCAATAGTAGTACCTATTGAATTAGATTGGTTTTCTAAAAGTATCAATTTTAAATTGTAAGGCAGCAAGTTATAGAAGTATTTAAATTCTTAAATCTTAATTCTAAAAAGGAATATATATATAGTCCATTTGCTGTGTTGTACTTTTCAATAATAACAATGTTATTTGCAATTACAGGTAATAATATGGCCCTTTAGAGTTGTGAGTCTCATGTTAAGCTGAGGTTGTCATTTCATAAGTGAGAGAAAATTAATATTTAGAGAAAGCCTTTTCCATATAATGATCTGAAGTATATTTTCTTTAAGAAATGATTTAACATTTTAAAATATGTTTAAAATATGAGAAGATTCAAAACTAACTACCTGTGAAAATTATTTCACTATTTTAAATAAACACTATTTTTACGTGTGTTCAGGTTGCTTCAAGTTCCTTATAGGAAATTTTAAATAAACACTATTTTTACGTGTGTTCAGGTTGCTTCAAGTTCCTTAGAGGGTTGAAGAATGATACTGAATTGTGTGTAAAAGGATAGAGACCATAGTACATTTATAACAAGACAGAAAAGCAGTAAAAATAGATTTCTCCTACAACTATTTATAAATGTTTGATATTTTCTAAATATCTACTGTCTATAACTGGACCACTATTCCATGTCTGCTAGTAAAATCCTCAAAAGTAGATGAGCAATTAGTCAGTTGTTACTGAGCTAATGTGTCATTCCTCTGAGTCAGTGGGGTGTGTACGTTTTGTGGGGGGCAGTAGTTTTACATAGATCAAGTAGCAACAGAAAGAGGAGATCCTTAATTGAGCAGCCATTACTCGGGGTTTCAGTCCAAACAAAGTTAATGAAAATCACTAGAGGATTGAAACCCACAAAGGCAGTCATATGAACAGCACCGTCCCTGAGAGATGCTTAACACTTACAGGTGCCTTCACTCCTGGCAGTCAAGGCACAGACACCTGCAGTGGCTTTTCCAATGAGCATATTTCTGAGAAGACTGTCCAAATACAAAAACTACCCTTCTAGATTGCTCTCCAGTTCAGTTCTGTGAAGGTTTTCATGATCTCTCACCCTAAACACACACAAACTTTCTTTTTTAAGTACAGGGTCTCCTTATGCAGCCCCAGCTGTTCCTGAACCTCTTTGCCTTACCTCCCGAGTTGCTGGGATCACAGGCACTACAACACTGTGCCCAGCTTATATAGGGTGTGTTAGTGAATGTGCATTTTCACTTAGGAATGCTATACTTAGGAGGGTGTTTTGTTCTTTTTACACAACCGGTGGTAGATCAGTTTTGTTAGAAACATCATAGAATTAGGAGCTGCTTAAAAATTATAAATTTCAAACTATAATTTTAACATCATGAGTATATTTTCAGTTTTCTTTCTTTCTTTCTCTTTCTTTTTTTTGCTACTGGTAGGCCTTGGCTAAACTAATTTTTAAAAATGTATGCTT